TGTGGCTCATTTTATATTGCTTGCTGCTGTCATGTTCTCCCAGATTCAGATCACCTTCCAAGTTGAGGGCCGATTGGGTGGTCGTGGTCGATAACGGCGGCCACTACTGCAGGCAGCCGTCCGCCAGCCTAAGGTACCTGGTAGTGACTTTATTCCGAGATCTGCTTAGTTGTTGGTTTCTAAGCAAGAAGATCGTTGCCACCTGAGGCTCGGACTAGGCAGCCATCGGCTACTTGCAGTCAGCCTTCCCAAGGTTGTGGCTAGAGGTCACTATTCAGACTCTAGTCGGATAATATCTAACTTAACATCATCCCCTACTCGCCCTTGGTCCTTGTTGGAGCATCGACTGACTCATGGGAGGGTCCAAGGTACTCTCTTTGGCACGCTTGGGTGAGGCGCAGCCATAGACATGTATTTAGCTAAGACAGGCCCTTCAGCCACATCGATTCATGCGCCACAGCTTAGGAGACGCATCGCTTGGATTTAAAGGACTGTCAATAGACTGTAGGGAGCGTGATCGAGGTTTTCGCCATACTCTCTGTGATGGATGTCCTGTAGCACGTTGTGGGAGCATCCTTGACTAGTTAATACTTCGCCAACGGCGAACAGCGTCGAGGTCACATAAGATGCGAAAGCTCCTCGAACCGTAAAAAATTCCAGTTCTAAAGGCACTTAAAAACACCGTAGACGCCCCGGACCTGCCCGATATTCAACACAGAATTGGCATCCCGAGTAAGTTTAGGTCGAAGATTTCATGACTGCTGCGATGGTCACCGCCATCTTTCCAGAAACCTCTCCTGGGCTTTGTCCCGCTGCCCAAGAACGTCCAAATTGAGTCCCTCAATTCCTTTTTGGATCAGACCAAGTTGTTTCTCTAGATCAGCAAGTCGTTGTTTCTGGTGAACATCGACAAGAGAGAGCTGGCAACCAGAATCGGCCTGTAGAGCAGAATAGAGAAGCTCTGTTGCTCGGTCTGTCCGAGTGAGATACTCTGCCAGTGACATATCGGCTGTTTTGCTGAGATTCTGTAGAAGCTCCACCATCCGAGATCTTTTTTCAGAAATGGACTTCGAAAGACTAGGTCGCTCAGAGGAGCCATTTTCCAGGCCTCCCGAAACTCCCATACGACGCAAGAAGCTTTCATAAGCTTGTAACTGTGGAATGGATGTCGATTTCACTTTGTCGACCGACCCTGTCGGCTGTGGAACACCTACGGTGCTCAGTGACGAATCTCGCCGTAGCACCTTTTTAGTGGAACTCTGACCAGCGGGGCTACAACGTAGCTCGTTCTTATAAACAGTCGACAGTTCCTCGAAAGTTTCACGGCAAGATTGTCGATAGAGCAGCTGCTCTGTGACGTGCTCTGCGGAAAGCGTCATTTCGGTGATTAAATGCAAAATCTTGACCAGAATCAGCACTGTCTTTCCAGCTAAGAAACAGTGATAGGGAACGAACCGTATCCAGCTTTCCTTCCAATGTTGAGTTCAACTGATCATGGTTCTTCTGGAGCTCTCGCAATATTTGTTGCCCAAATTGCTGCCTCGCAGACATCTCAGCCAGGACCTCGATCTCTGAATAAAGAGACTCCAAATCTTGTTCAAGAACAAGTAGAGTATCCTCCATTCCCACTACCTCACTGGAAACATCATCACCGGCTTCAAGGGCTTCCAGATATAGTCGATCGAGACGACAATATATCTCTTCCGATACGAATCGGGAGAGAGCTGATGTAAGTTCCGCGGCACGCTTTTTGAGAATGTGATCTTCTTCCGTTGATTCCAGTTCTGACGCGAGACTTTCAGCTTTGGCAAGCGCCCTATCGTCGTCCTTTAACTTCGCAGTGACGGACAAGAGCAATTGTTTTTTCTCAGCCTGCGCTTGCTCTCTTTGGGCACTCATTCTCGTTTCGATGTCATTTTTAAGGTCATCAGCCTGGATTTTTCGTTAACGATACAACTCCGCGGCAAAGCCGCAATAGGTGCCGTACCGCAGCAGTCACCCGTTGTTTCTCCAATCGATGCCTCCGGTTAAGACCAGCCAATTCTTGCTGTTGATCCCGCTCAGAGTCATTGTCACGAGAACGACATCTTCGCACGAGCTCATATTGAGATTTTAACACTGCCGTCTGTTTCTGAATGGCAGCCGTCGAGGATTTCAGGGTAGCCGTCGCAGCGCGAAGGTCTTCCTCCAGAAGAGGTCTAGTTGTAGGAAGGTCCGGATGTCGAAGTAAGCTCTGCAAGACTCCCGACGCCTCTAGTCTACCTAAACTGAGACTACCGTTAGCAACTTCGCCGTGTGGAAGATAAGAGCACCTTACAGAGTTGCTTCCTCTTTGGACAACAATGTCTCCAAGCCAAGATGATCAGTCACCCATTGCGCGTTCTCCTGGCCAGTTTTGGATCCAGCATTGAATGCAGACTCAATATCATCCCGTTTGTAAGGAATATTGCGCTCCTTGAGAGCAGAAATGTATCGTTCCCACGGGCTGTCGCAACTTTGCATGGCTTTGTTTTGCCGTACTATCCATCAGTCGTTGGACCCAAAACGGGATCGTGGGCGGTGACTTAGCGGCCGCCTCTATGAACACTCAGGTAGCGCCTGAGGCCCGGGGCAACAATACGTGGTAGGTATTATTCTTGTTCCACTGAACCAGCCTCTATGTGATTATCCAGAGGCGAAAGTTGTACTGTGTGCGAGATCTTAGATCAATGTCCTCGTTATCATTGTGAAATCAGGACCGCTACTCCCCCCTCCCGGTCTTCCGGTAAGAATAGAGTTATTTACATCCCAGACTCAACCCTACAGAATCAGAGCAAATGAACATATGGTTCTACTTTGCTCTAAGTGTAGCTATGCCCGATTTCCAGCTTCGACGTCCTAGGTCAACTGTATGACTTCACCCAACTAGTCCTGCTGCATGCATGCTATCTACACATATAATTCTCGAACAAGTAGTCCCCGACGACTAGAACTATACAACCCAAATGCCTCGTGCGGATAATTGGTAATATCCCAGCTTCAGGGGAGCCACGTAATGCGCATTCTTTACCGGCGATGGATGGCACAGATTCTGTCAGTGGGAATCAGCAAATTCAAGAATCAATCTTCTGCCCCAGATGGCAATGTAGCCGACGAGAGACAGGTGGAAAGCCAGTTCAGTGAGTACCATAACACCTGTGTATGTCCGCAGCGAATGTTGTATCAATAGATGATTGTGCCTGGACAGGGCATGGCGATCACTTGTGTGCTTTTTTGACTGTTTGAAGAGAAATCTTCCGGAGAATTCAGCCTCAAGCCTCGTGGCTCCCTGCGGGAATCTGGACGTTCGTGGTACCCTCTTCCGGATTTGGGTAATACCAGGTCGTCACTGCAATGATGACATAGACAAGAACACATAGTCCGCCTTCGAGATAATTTGACTTTCCGTCGCGAAGGAAGTTTCCAACTACCAGGATCGACAGCACGAGCAACACAATCATAAAGATCTCGAAGTTCAGGTCCATGTCTTTGCCAAGACCCCAGCCCACAATGACGACAAGGGGCGCATTCAACAGTGCCGTCTGGATTGATGGCCCCAGGCAATGGAAAAGAGCAAAATTGATTTGGTTATCCCTAGGTAAGTCAGTAAGTTTTGGATCTACGGAGATGGACAAGGAACTATTTACCAGGCTTCGTCCACAGCGGTAAGATGCTCCGCCGCCTTTTCAACCAAGGGAACAAGTATGAGACCCATGAAATTATCTGGGACGCCTCTCTCAACGATATACGGAATCTGTTCGACTAAGAACACTGCGGACATGCTGACACACGTAAGCGCAACGGCTAGAGCCACCAGGCACTCAGTAAACGTGAGCTTGGCTCTCAGACGTTCCTTGTCTCGATCCTCATCCCGAGCTTCGTCAAGCTCGAGGACTTCGTCGAAGATGCTATTGTGACTATGAAGATTGAACCAGAGATACCTAACAAAAAAATTAGTAAGCACCTATTAATCCCGCCTTGTGGTGAAATGGGCATACATGACGAAGGCCACCAGCAGGATGACGGCGGTGGCTCTGCTAATAGTCCTCGTATTCGAGAGCAGCTCGTCTGCGGTGAAAGTTCCTTTGCTTGTGGCGGACCCCGAAAGTGCAGAGTAGAAAGCGCTTGGGATCAAAAGGCCAAATCCAGCAACGAGCAAAAGCCCCGAGCCAACCTCGCTGACAGCCTCATGGAACGCCTGCTCATTCCGTCTCAATCCGCCAAAGAAAAAGCACAGTCCCAGACAGAGCAAAAGATTAGCAAGGATAGAGCCAAGAATGGCAGCTTGAATGACCGGAATAAGGTTATTGTTCTTGTCATGTGCTATCAGAACCATAAATAGCACGATCTCAACGACAGAGGTCAGGGTTGTCTCTAGCAGAACACCTAGCACTTTGGGGAGCTTTCTAGCCAGCTCGCCGCCGGCGAAACCGAGCAGATTCGCTGTCGGTATGATAGCGATAAAGTTGAGAGCGAAGACCCAGACATGGAGGTCCGGCCGCGCAAAAGCAAGGGCAATAGCGGCAGGAACAAACGGCCAGAGAACATTGACTACCATGGACAGAGTACAGGTACTTCTGGCGCAAACTTTCAGAAAGTGACCGACGTGGATACCATGGCGCCCACTTTCACCCGTAGATTCCACTCGAAACAGTCCGATGCCACGAGGGCGTACCGACGACTTCCCATGGTGTCCCGGAAGCAGACCCTTAGGCTCCGAAGAAGATGACGGTCCTAGGTTGTTTTCGAGGCCGGTCTTGGAATCGGTGGTGTGGGTTTCTGGTGACCACTGCTGCGAAGGCTGCATACTAGCTGGATATCAGAGGTCTCGGATTTAGACGTCACGTTCCAAATGACAATCGTTGGATCCCCCAGACAGGCATGTCGTTCACCGAAAAGGTGTCACGCGAGGCGGACAAGGCAACGCTTCTCTCCCGCGAGAAGAAAAGCGAACCCCAACCAGCACGCTTTGAAAAGAACAGAAAGAAGGCAGACTCAAGACAAATCTTCGAAGATAAAGAGTCCATCATGTTAGGGGACAGGGGGGCAGAAAAAGCGACCGGTGGGGAGAAATCCAGCTGGGGATGCTGTCGCGCTTGGCGAGTCACCGCCAAGATAAACAAAATTGACAGCACGATAGCTAAGCCACTCATGTTGGAAGTGCCCAAGTC